ATACAACTATTTTAAGGTGGCCAGAGAGTGAATTCGCTTGTATCTTCTGACTTAACTTTCCATCTAATTCTTCTGTTAAGATTCAAGGCTTCCAATGTCTCTGCCCTTCCCCCTGAACCTAATAAATATCTCTGGCATGCCCCCCGCTTCCAAAATGCAACATGTTTTCATCTATTACTGTTTACGGATCAGATTTGTTCAGAAAATATAGGCGGCCAAATGAGAGGTGGGTTGAAATTTTGGGGAGGGGGTGACAAGGCCTTCTCTGTGTTCAAAGACTCAAAAAGGCATTCATGTCCCCAGCCTCAATCAGAGGGTAAGCTGAGAGCTTGAGAAACAGAGATGCAGGACAAGCATCCCCAGGTTTGGGCACTGTGGTTTCAGTGAAAAGTCCTGGAGAAAATTCAGTTGAAGGCCAGGTCAACATCCAGGCCAGGGACTCAGTCAGAAGAAGCTAGGGTGATGCAATTGAAAGCCATCCATTTAAAGGAAGAATATGTTATGTGACCAAGCAAACTTCATGTCCCATTAGCCTGCCTTGCTTTATAAAAAAAAGAAAGATAAATCTTCAGTATGGTTAAAATCTATAGGGATTCTAGTGCAACCTGAACAGCTTCTTTCACTGAAGTTTTGGGCTTCATGAATCTTTATGAACCATTCTTCCAATCTATTCACTTCCACTAGAAGATAATTTTTTTGGGAACTGGAAAGCAGAAACAGTTCTGAACGAGTCAGTATTAATTACAGATGAATCAAAATTCAAATGGATTTTAACATGGTTCACCACCCCAAGCCCTACTTCGTTATGTCCAAGCCTTCCCAACCCAAAGAGAAAATGTAGAAAGATTGCGTGACTCTGTTACTGTCTGTTCTTTTGTACCGCTTTCCACAGCGTAAGGGTTGGCCTTTTTGGTGGCTGGACAGCTCTTTTCAAAACTTGGTTCTGCTGCTATGAAATTGCTCCTCTCACAATTTGGACCAGATCAGCACCAAGTCCCTATCTGAACCAGCTTTTATGCACAGTCCTATGTATAATCTTCAGATAAGTCCCAATAGAAGGAAATATGTGTAGCTCAGGGTTGAACTGTGGAGTCCTTGGGGTTCTCTGAGCTTGGTGGTTTTCTTGCATTTGCAAGAAAACCACCAAGCTCAGAGAACGCCAAGGACGCCACACTTCAGAGAAATTCCAACCAGCATCTTCTTTCAAATATCAGGGAATAGAAGAGTTATGTTAAGACACCACATCTGGACTGAAAAAAATCCAGGTGTCCACAAGACATTGGCTATTAGTGTCCAAACTAGACATTCTGTAATCTGTCCCTCTCATCGCAGATCTTTTGGCCTATGAAACAAGATAACAATGAAGACTTCACCTCTTGCCTTATCATCTGAAAATGGAAGCATTGTACCCTGGCCCCTCACAGGCAGCCCTTTGAGGCCATGATATGAAGCTTTGTGAGCTAAGAAAGGATGAGCACAAGGAAGCTTGTGCAGGAAACCAGTCACGGTGGAAGAAAATAGGAGCTGAATCTGTGCCATAGTCAACATTTCTGGAGATCAGGGCATCCAATATCTCTGTGACAGTCCTAATGATCACCTGGCTACACCTAATCCCCACAGATTCCAGCTGACAGAGGCTAATGCAGAAGAGTTCAGCTCAACCTGCTCTGAACGCAGGAAATTGACAGTAATGGAAATAATGACACCTCAATGGATGTGAGGATAGTGTCTTGCTAAGACAGCTTTTTAAAAGGGGGAAGGAACCAGTAACAAAACAGCACAACCCGGTGTGCTCCTTCTCAGGATGTTAGCTGGCTAGCTAGGTCTGCCCCCTTCCACACCAGAGCGTCACCTCCAATGATGGAAGCCAGACCTTCCCATCAAACAGCACAGGCCTTGTAGCATTGCAACCCCTGCAATAATAAATGGGGGTGACCCACTCTATGCATAAAATGAATGGTTTCGTGGAGGCTGTAACTGGGCAAGAAATAAATAGACCTCTTACTTTTAATGATGATTTGCTAACCATTACATGGGGTTCTCAACTATACAGTACCACATTGTCCCACTGCGGTCTTGCACAGGCAAAGTGGGGAGCAAAGCCCAGAGCGAATTTTGATAATGCTCCCACTTGACCTACACAAGACTGAACAGGTTGTAAAACAATTGTGACCCCTCCCACCGGGGAGAAGGATCTCTACAAACAGGGAAAGTTCTCTAGTTTAGACTATCACCCACTACAAGTAAAGGGTGATCCAAGGAAGTAGATAGGTAAGAATGTCCCCACTCATCCTGTCTGGCCTACATTCCATGACACCTGAGTAAAGCTATGCTGGCATGAGAAAAGAGGGAGATTATCAGTGGTTTTCACATGCAAGAATACCAAAACTTCTTCTCCGGGATATCCATTTTTCCAGATGAAGCTCTGTGTATGTGTGGTTGGGAGGACATGTCAGAAAAGGAAAAGCAGCACGAGTGATGAGAAATGGGACATAGATCTTACTTGGGTGGGGGGAATGTATCTTAGTAGGTTGTTCCACCTCAGCCATATGGATCTAAAATCCCCGGAGCAACCCACACTCAAGTGGGAACATTTCCTTTCCGTTTTGTGGATCCATTTTACTGTGAATCCATCCACTGGGAACCCACATTGCTCAATTGAAGGAAGGCTCTTTGTCAAATTCTGACAAGAGTTTTGCCTGTGCCCTCCCCTGTGCCTCTGTTTTGCCAAGATACTGGGCTGATAATAAATGTATTAATTACTTCATTTCTCCTGGAAGAAGGCAGAGAATTGTTGTTGTGGGTGTTGTTGTGTTTTTTTAAATACAGGCAGCTGTGGCTCTTTTCGTTGGGCCAACTGAGGAACCGAGTGGCTGACGTCACAATTCATTTTCTCCATGACTGATGAAGGCTGCTCTCAACGCCCCACCATGCATACGAATCAGGACGTCTTCCCCTGGTGCTGAGGGCCAGGCAATCCATCTTCAAGCCAGGCTCCTGAGCAGCTGAGAGAGAGAGAGAGAGAGAGAGAGAGAGAGAGGAGGAAACTTTGGCTGTCAGCAATTGTTCCAAACAAATTGCTTCAACGGCTCCCCAGAGCCAGGCCAAAGGTCTCCTCTGTGTGGCAACTGTCGCTATGCCATGTTTTCAGAAGCAGATGGTGAAACAGTTTTCTCTCCCCTTCCAAGGAGAAAGAAGCCAAGGTCCTGTTTCCAAGAAGGTCCGTTTTGGAAAGTAGTGAAGGTGCTCAGGAGAAGTTCTTGGATAAGGGAGAGGCCTGAGGTTTGAAGCAGAAGCAATTGCTCTGTTTTTTGAGGGCCATCAGTGAAGCAGCAGGAAACGAGAGACCAGGTGAATAGAAGTCATCTCCCAGAACATGTAAGCTCAGCTTGGAGACATATTCTTTCTTTCTCTCTTAATCAAATCCTAAACAAGCAGGAACAGCACTTGATTAGAAGCGTAGACCTTGCATGAAGAGCTGAATCTGGAGTAGACCGGGCTAGCACCTTTTTCCCAGAGAAGAACAGATCCTTCCTGGGGACCACAACATTTCTGCTCTTCTCCCCATGAGAAGGACACAAGTTTGGGAAAATGAAAAGGGCCACTGAGCCTGCTCTCTTCTGGTCTGTTGGAGTCTCTGGAAAACTCTCATGGCAAAAGGGCCCACAAACGAAGCTTATCTGAGCCCCCATAAAGAAGTCAACAGGCCTTGGAGTGAACTGTGAGCACAGAAGAGAAGTGCAGAGTGAAGCTCCAGACCCCTGTCCTGGGAAGGCAGGAAAAGCAACTTTACTGCCCTGAGATCTCTTAGGAACTCCCCCCTCTTCCCTTTTGTCCAAGAGCCAGATTTCCTTCCACCCCGATTTCTACTTTCTGCTGCATTTACTGTTTCTGCCATAACCACTTTGAGTGCTGCCACGAACTGTGTTTTATGGATAATTGGAAACCACTCCAATAGACAATCTGCCTTTTAATCTGGAGATGTGGTACAGAAGTACTATACACCAGTATTTCCCCTCAGACTTCATTACAAACAATTGGGCTGTATCCTTCTCGAGATTTCCAGCAGAACATTCAGGGGAAGCTTCAACAGACGAAGTCCATTGGCCTGGTGTGAAAAAAGAAAAAAAAAAAAAGGCAATAGTTTGTCACGGACTGGTGGGGAAGGCATCCTTCTTTCTGGATGGGAATATCAGCAGCAAGAGCCCAGCTATCCCCCATGAATTCCTGCAAAACAGGAGCAGCTATGTTTAAGAAATAAAAGTGCACGCAACGCCAACGCATAAGTCAAGCTTTATTTGCCAGATACTACCTCAATCCATTAATACACAGGACACCATTTCCAAGCTTAAAAACAATTCTTGCCTCAGGTTCTCCAAACTGAAGGAAGAACATTAACAGAAGGTGGAGCAGATCACACTGGGTACAAGTTAGGGGCAAGTCCCAATCTCTTAACCACTGGCCAGTAGAAATGAAGTAGTTGCCTCCAGTTCTTTGGATTTTGTTGTTGTTGTCATCTGGACAAATATTCAGAAAAGAACATCAGAACAATATAAAAAAGGGACCTGTGGGGAGATAAGAATCTGGACAGAAAAAGGCCCAAAAGATCAGAGAGAACATGCTGATATTTGTTCTTTAGCTGTTAACAAGTTGGACTTGGCACAAGAGAATCATTATGGTTGTGATAGGCTGTGTTTATCTTCTCTCTCTTTTTTTTAAATTGGTAGGTGCTCTTGATGATCCTGGAGCTGCAATAAACATCAAACATTGTTAAAAATCCATTTGTGTGTGTATGTCACTCAAGTCTTGGTTGTCTTTAATAGACAATGAAAGTCATTATATATATATATATATAATGACTTTCATTATATATTTCTTTCTTTCTTTCTTTCTTTCTTTCTTTCTTTCTTTCTTTCTTTCTTTCTTTCTTTCTTTCTTTCTTCTCTTTCATCACTGCAGCTGGTGATAGCTAGAGAAAAGGGAA